ACAAATACGTTAAGATCAATTACTAAATTTGCATTTGAAAATGTTACATTCTCGTACAAAAGTTGGGGTGAAATATGCAAAAAAACTTATATTTTAAGTTAAAATGCAAATAAGGTTAAAGCAAAGAATCTATAGTACAAAGAAGTGCCACGCTCATACAAACGAAATACCCACTTTATTTTGCTGGTGGATTTATAATAAATCCACCCAACCTCATGCAACAATGTTCGATCGAGTCACAACTGGTATGATGTTCAGTTCAAACTCATTGCAACCCACAATTGTTTTTATACGCCTGTTTCTTTTGCCTTTCTTGTTTTTATTTGTCTATTTAATTAATATACATGGATTAGTAACGAAGTGAATGGTAAAGAAATCCCTCAAATAATTTTTCGATATACTTTGTTGCTTTATCCTCTTGTACTGGAAAGGCCCATATCATAGGAGTAAAGAGTAATAGAATATATTATTTTTTTTATTGCAACAAATGATGCACTACAAAAACCATTATGTATGTACAAATGTGATATTGGAGACATGAAGTCTACAGTACATAAATATGTATGTTTTTATTGCACATTTGTGCATATATTTTACCTCAAAAGGAACTACTTCTTAATAGTTTGAATTTTTAATGACTTTGTAATTATTTTAAAAAATATTTGCAAGATTCATATAAAAGTGTTTGAAAAGTATTTTAAAAAAAATAAAAATATTAGAAACGTAAGAAAAATTATGATGAAAAAATGTGTAAAAGTCACTAAAACCACTAATAATGCCTCCTGATTTGAGGAAACGCATGAATGCTATTTACACCGGATTGAAATGTTAAAATTGGTGTTTACGATATTGCTTCGGAAATATTGCGCATGGACAATATTTAAGAATAAAGCTTCATAGAATTGAAGAAATCAGATGTGAGACATAAATAAATTTGTAATGTATTTTAACACTACAATTCATACCAATAGTAATTTTGTTTTTGTTTTATACTATTAAATTCAAAAATTTATCATATGTACACAATTTTGACTTCGTCACTGAAATGCTGTTTGATCACTTGAACATTTTACAGCGAACAAACATACAAACATGCATATAATGTAATACAGAGGGTTGCATGTATGATTGAATACGTATGCAGTCAGGTTTTTGTCAGCCTTACTCGACTCACATATAGGTTTGAACTGAACATCATACCAGTTGTGACTCGATCGAACATTGTTGCATGAGGTTGGGTGGATTTATTATAAATCCACCAGCAAAATAAAGTAGGTATTTCGTTTGTATGAGCGTGGCACTTCTTTGTACTATAGATTCTTTGGTTAAAGCATTTATAATTCTTAGTTTACATTATAAATACTTAACAAAACTAATTATTTTAAATAGTATATGTTAATTTTTGCAATTTTTAACATATGTTACGATCCCAACGAACGCAAATATCAATCCTTTTAAAAATAATATTTACTATTTCAAACAAAATTGTGAAATTCAAGTTTTTTTTTGCACCCTTTGGTGCAAGCGCAAAGTCGGGAATGCACATTTGTGTGCAATCGTAACAGTGGCGGAGCTAGACCAACTCTGCACGTCGGCGACACAGAATTGCGAGGCCCCCTTTATAACCCAGTTGTAAACTTTCAAGTTACATTGTTGAAAGTTTTATTGCTAATCAAATTAAAATAAATGAATTTTCCTACTTTTAGCCTCACTCAATTTTTTTTAAAATTATATCATAATTTGCGCCAGCTGCTATTTTTGCGTCAATTTATAGAATTTCCAATGGAGATAGTCTCTCTTGGATCTTCATACTTTTCTAGTACGTCTTAATCACGTTTTTTAACTTTGAGTAGCTTCTTTCCGTCGAAGCTATACTGACTGGAACTGTGAACGTGAATCTGGTTACTATATAAACATTCGGGAATACTTCAAATATTTATTAAGTGCTTAGAATCCACAGTCGGTAACTTTTTGCGAGGCCCCTGCGGGCGCGAGGCCGTCGGCGGTCGCCGACATCGCTGACGCCTAGCGACGCCATTGATCGTAATATTAGAAAAGCAGACTCGTGTGCACAGAGAATTTTTTTCGCACAGTGCGGTGTGCTAAGAGAATTTTGTTTTGAACAGTGCGGTGTGAGCATAAAATTTTCTCCCATATCTGATTGTGCACATTTTTATAAGTCAATCGCACAGCACAAATGTGTGTGCACGAAGCTGTGTGCACATTTATTGCGTGGTGCGGTGTGAAATTTAAAACAGCACATAAAGTTAACACCACAAATGTGCGTGTGCACACCACACTGTGTGACAAAAAATTCTCTGTGCAGTGTGCGAGAGAAATTTATAGTATATAAATTTGTATAGGCTTTACTTAACAAAATATATGAAAGTTAATATTGCCGACGCTTTTAAGTTTTTTTGGTTTATTCTTCAGCATAAATGAGTGTAATAACTGATTTTATAAATTAAATGTTGACATTTATGTGCGGTTCGATTCTTTTTCCTAAATATGTTTCATATTTATATGAAGTCTATACAATAACCATAAAAATGACTTATGATAAACAATGAATAAAAAATTAAAAATGAAACCGCAATAGTAGTTCACATAGTAAATAAATATCGGCCGGCAATATTCTTGATAGTTTGTAAAGCAACCCTTCGTGTTAGACGCTGTCGAATGCTTTAGTTACGTCTAAAAACACACCCACAGTGATCTTGTTAGAGTCTATATTCATTGCAATTTTACTAGCCACCCGATGAATTTGATGAATTGTAGAATGCTTTTTACGAAATCGAAATTGGTGAATTGGCAATAGGTTGTTTTCTTTTATTATTGGTCCCAGTCGGGAGAAAAGAAGATTTTGGTTTTTGGTTTTCTGGTTTTTGGTTTGATTTGTGGTTTTTCTTGATTTGTGATGGACGGTCAGTGTTATATTCTTTTTTAGGCGGTGTGCAATGGTGTATGGCACAGTTACTACTCTTTGTCGATTTCCATAAAGAGTAATTTGTAACCTTTGTAGCACTCAATATTGATACATTTTTTTGTCTTTCAGTCCCTAATAATTCTTTCAGCTGTTTTGTTAATTTGTTCAACTTTGTCTTTATTTGTGGAATTCTGGATACTTGCCAGATTTTTCTCAACTTTCTTTTTTGTTCTATTTTAATTTTGATGTGATTCGGGACAGGTATTACAGTTTTGATTTTAGTTATTGGTGTAGATGCAGATGCTGCAGATAATAGTAGAGTATGGAAATTAATTATTGCATTATTTATTTCATCTTCTGTTCTTAGAGCTACATTTATAACTAATTGTTCTTCTATTAGCTCACGATATGTATCCCAACACGTTTTATAATTGTAAGTATTATTGTTCGTATTTTTCATATGAAGAGTTGTGCTGTAAACTAGTAGTATTGGTAAGTGGTCAAAGGACAACTCAAGGCTGGAATGAATGGAAAGGTTATTTACATTTATGTTTTTTGTTATAAAGAAGTCAATCAAATCAGGTTGCTTTTTTGGGTCACTAGGCCAGTAGGTTGGTTCACCAGTACTTATAAATTTTGCTTTATATTCACTCAATGCAGTGTAAAAATTTTTGCCCTTTGCGTAATCTCCTCCGACTATAAATCTTTGACCAAGAGATTTGAGGAAATTTAAGTACGTGTCTTTGGTATTTGAGAACTTAGGAGGACAATAAACAGCAGCCAATTTTAATAGACCATGAGAATCTTCAATCATTATTGTGCTCGCTTGTATTTGTTCTGTACTATGATTTTCTAATTCAGAGATACCATAGCTTTTTTCAGTGAAATGCGTTTCTGAGGTTAATAGTATGTCGATTGAATTTGAGTACAGAAAAATTTTCAATTCGTTGATATGTCTACTGACACCGTTTGCATTCCATGTTACTATTTTCAAGTCATTGTACCCATTGATTTTTGTAACCAATGCCGTTAAAATGTTCATCATTCCTGACATTTGTGTTATCAATGTTTTCATCATTTCTTTTAAATCTGGGAGTTCTGAGTTGTAAGAATTAGATTCAACAGGTGTTTGGCGTGAAACGTGGGC